AAAGGTAAACATATTTAAAGATGAATAAAGCGGTATTTCCTAAGATGTGAAAGCTTTTAATATCATAAAGTACAGTGCGTATTTCAGGACCAACAGCAGACTTACTCCAGATTTTAGTATACTCAAGGTTTTGATTCAGTAAAAATCAAGGAATTAGATTATTGCACAAAATATAAATGGAGTAATTTTATTAAACTTTCATTGGTTACATACATTGTATATTTAATATGTATTCAACCCGTACACATTTGAGTTTACGTGCACAGAATATAATACAACACGGCACTTCACGGGGAATACACCTGACACAGGTTACCATCCACAAATGGAGTCTGGGGGAGAGGGGGGTGAAGAAATAACAGATAGTGGAAACCAGCTTTTTGAACATACAAATTGCTTGTAGTTTAACACTAGGGAACAAGAATCTCCTTACTTGAGTTGTGGAAAGCAATCCACCTCCCACTAACCACGGTAGAGCTCTAATAGGGAAGCAATTGTTCCGATGGCGTTCCCCAGCAACAGTTAAAAACACTTTAAAACTTTTGTAGAATCACCCAATCGTTCTGATGCGGTGCAGGTCACACTGCAGCTTCCACGGTCAACTCGTATGGGTGTTACGTTCGTCTAACAAGCGTGTTCTAAAGATCAAATAAAAAGCAAAAAGATTAATATAGTACCATCCCGGTGGAATGGTCTGACACAAGACTTAATTAAAAGGTTTAGTTTCGTAAATATCCAAAGACTAATAAAATTTACCCTTTTTGTCAAGCGAAATTCCGAACTAAGGCTTCAAATTCACAAACAAATAATTTATAAGCAAATATTTCAAAATACACTTACAATATTGAGCAGATGTTGTATCGTCGTTGTGCACCAGAGTTGTGAGTTCATGAGCGTCTACCGGGCTTTATATACAGGCGGCCCACATTCCGTGACCAATCACAAGCTGTTTATTATACGTTGTGCTAAGTTTTAGCCAATGGGAACATTACCTTGTTATGACGTCAAGGTTGCACCATGCCGGAGCGAATCATTTTAACGCCGGCAGGTTTGTCATCCCGGATGTGACAAATGGCTGTTTGATGACGACTAAGTGATTTAAAGTTTATTGTGACCTAAAAGAAGTGTATAACGTGAAGAACAATATACTATATTATGAAAGCGTATTTACAGGAGGTCTGAAAATGTATTCACTGTCTTACTTATGTTGGTAGAAATTGTGAATGTATTAAATGTTTTAGAAGAGCAATATTGGCCTCACTTGACGATTGTTAAGAGACATATACATGATATTAGTATTATTGTAATATAAAAAAGGTGCTAAAATTAAAGACAATAGCATAAAAAAGTTAATATGACGACTAAAATAAGATTAGAAAGTACATTGATAACGAGAGAAAAACCATTGAGTTGTTATTAACATTTACTTCAAATGAACCACACAGCAGAAACACTAAAAGTAACAAAAGCTTTTAAGTCCTACGGGTGAGTTTACAAAGATACCTATATGTTACAAGAACAAAACATAGACATTAAAACTAAGTAGAGTCGTGAGTGGTGCTTGTACTCGGGGGAGGAATATAATCCACTTCCCCCGAGGAGAGTCAATTACATCGGGTATAGTTTATAGTCATATTGCTTAGAGAGATATTTACTGATAAAGGTGAAACACGTACAATTTGGTCAGGCCTCACCCAATGAATTCAGGTAAAAAAAGTCCCAGAAAAAACGTCACAGGAAAAAAAGAAAAGTTAACTATCAAATTCTCATATTTTTTAAGGTTAATATGTCAACCTAACCTAACCTAACCTAGCCTAGCCTTTATTACCGGCCACTATAAATTAATTGTGAGTTTTTTTCCTGTGACTTTATTACCGGCCACCCACCCAATACCTGACACGCACAGGACAGTAAGTATCTTGGAGAGTAAATGTGGTACCTGATAATATACATATGACAATGTTACCACGATGTTAATTTTTTGTTTTGTTTTTACATTTTTATAATTAATTTATAAATATATACCTTTTACGGTCATGTGTAAAGATTATTCGGGTCGTGACTTTATTAAATTTACCGTTCGTAGTTCTCACCAAGGACTGGAGATGTGTGTGACTGTAGGGTATGTTGTTATTTCTCAAGGAAACTTTATTGATTACAATACTGCCACTGTAGGCTGTGAGTTGCTATCATAACTTTTTGGTTTGGTAGCTTATCACAAATTGTGTGGTCCCTATGGTGTAAATACCCAAGAGCAGTTTATGTGGGATAATCCCCTCGTTTGGTTGTGACGGTGATTACCGGAGAAGAAGTTCGGTTGAGCAGCGAGTCGGCGGCAAGGTGGGGTATATAAAGGGTGAACCGGCAAGGATGGATTAGTTACAATCCGATCCTTGTGTCTGGTGTTAGAACTCGTGTATAGCGACATAACAAAGTGTAGTTTGTGAAGAAGAAAAGAAAAATATAGTATATAAATTAGTGTAAAGACATTTGTTCTTTCGGGTGTTAGTGTTGTGCATTCGAAGTGTTTTTTTAAACATAAGTCATAAATGTATTTGACTTGAGGCCTGTGAAATATATTTTAGATTTGTGTCTCAGGTTAACTAGGGAGCTTTTGAATATGTTTATAATTCAAGAGCTCGGAGTACATAATATCTAAATTGAATACGGTAGTTTAATTGAAATAAAATCTTTTAAGTGTATCGTGCTAAGTGTTTGAGAAAGTTGAAGTGTCAATAGTGTATTTTGTGAAATTCGCGGAATATGTTGCGTTTTTGCAAGAAAACGTGTAGTCATTTCGTTGATGAGTGACGGAAAGTGAATTCATGAAGATTGTGTAGCAAGTTCATTATTTAAATATTCTCTCGACCTGAAGTTGTTTAGATGCGAACTTCACTGCAGTTTTAAGTGATGGTGGTGGAATCTTGAAAATGAGTGATAAGTAAAGAAAGCTGCAGCATTTGTGTGCCTTGAGCTTGGACAGTTCATAGTGATAAGTGATCGTGGTGGAATCTTGAAAATGAGTGAGAAGAAAAATAAAAGATGCAGCATTTATGTGTGCCTTGAGCTTGGACAGTTCATAGTGATCAGTGATCGTGGTGGAATCTTGAAAATGAGTGATAAGGAAAAAAGATGCAGCGTTTGTGTGTGCCAAGTACTAAAGCATACTCTTGTGTGTGTGTTTTGATGCGTATAGTAGAAGATTGGAGGTGTTGTGCATATAGTGAACCTATCAACCGGAGAAGTGGGAAAGCAAATAATTATCCCGACAGCGACCGGAGGTAAACGAGGGGTGACGGCAGGTAAGTGACTATAGATATTGTGAGTTTATTTGGGGAGGTAAAGATAGGGATTTGACATGAATAACAATATTGACATGGGTGACGGAATTGTGAGCCTGTTTTGAGTGGTACCTGATGTAGTGTACCGTTTTCGAGATGAATTAATTTGTAACTTTCAGTGTTATTTAAGGTCGTGAGAAGCTAAAGAAAAAGATGTTCGTATATTTGCTTAAATAATGAAGAAAATTTCATTAATGAGTATTTTGTAGTTGTTGGTATAAAATGTATTTTTTTTAAGATTCTACCAACCGCAAGGAAGCCGCAGTGGACTGGCGCATGAGCATTAAGTTGGAGCCCATTAGCGTGAGAAGAGGTTGAATTCTGCAGAGACGTGACCGGCACAGAGGTAGACTTAGAGTTTAGGTAGCGGTAAGGCGAATGAAAATCGTGAATAGGTGTTGTGTGTGTGTGCTGTTATATACTGGAGGCTATATAATGGTACTACACTCTCGGTTTTTGTGTTTTTATGGTCGTATTTTGTTGTAGATAGAGGCGAGGTAAGGTGTTAGTGTACCGTCTGTTATGGTTCATTTGTTAGTTTTATACGCAGACTAGTGTTATTAATTGTTATTGTGTATGTGCTTTTGTTTCATTAATTTTGACTTGTCTGTTGTAAATTTTGAAGCTTGATGCCTTTTATTGCAGGTGTACGGAAGGCTTATACTGTGGAATAGAGAAGAGAACGTGGCCTACAATTGCGGTGAGGAACTCGTCAATAGGGTATTTAAAATGGAAGGTGTAGTTGTTTTTGACTAAAGAGAAGTGGTAGCTGTAATATGAAAATTGATAAGTGGTTCATGGCTAATATATTTGTATTGAGAATTTGTGTAAGTTTTATAGGTTAGGTAATAAATCGTTTTTTTCAGGTTGTTGGAGGTGGAAGGAGCCGGTATTTTTTTGAGGTAGACTAGGGGAATAGTGATGGGTAAGTGACGTTGAAGTTTGTAAAATAGTTGTTAAATTTTAAATCGATTTTTGGTCTTGTGCCGTAGAGCAATAGAAATGTTAAAAGTTGACATTAAAATAAATGATTGTGGCTTGAGTTTGGTAATGTTAAGTTTAAAATGTGGAATTTTGTGCCTCGGCTGTAGATTAAAGAAAATGTAAATGAGTTTTGATAAATTGAGTTTATTATATAGTAGTGAGAAAGATTTGATAAATGGGTAACGAGTGACCTTTTTTCAGGTTGGGGTCTGGTGGTGGTCCTCGGTTCTCCAGTGCACCCAAAAGTGCCTAGAGACGGGCAAGGGGAGACTTAAGTGAGGTGTATAAACCTGTGAAAGGGCACTACTTAGTCGAGGAACCGTACCCGTAGCTGACTGACGCCCGCCTCACAAGGGGTCACAGCCGAAGTGGGGGTGCCGGTGGTAGAGCGGTACCGCTCTCGCCTCGCAAGCGAGACGTCTCGGGTTCGATTCCCGGGCCGGTGGAAAGTGGGTTGGACACATTTCCTAGACCCCCTCTGTCCCTGTTGACCTAGCAGTAAAGTAGGTACCCGTTGTAAATCGAAAGTTGCGAATTCGTATCTGGGGAAAGTCGTCGGAGCTAGCCGACAAAATGTTAAAGACTGGAGGGTTGTACGCCCTTGACAAAAAATGCTATGATCCTTTAGGCAAGCACAAATTTGGCATGCTGCCTAGTTGGGCGGTGTAGGCGCTTGTGCCCTTCACCTTGCATGGGAATAAGGGGGGGTGAGGGGGGATGCCCCTCTGCCTCCCCCTTCTCAAAAAGTGTGGTAATGAGAAATCGAAAAAATGGTAGAGTAGAATATAGTCTTGTGTTGACTGTATCGACTAACCAAGAGGAAGTATGGTCGCCATCCAGAGGTGGGGGAGAAGCCTATGTTGGAAAGGAGCCAAGTGTTGTAACCAGTCGCCCTGTGCAGCATGTGCTAAAAGGTAATGTATACTGTTAAGTGGTTGAAGGTGGGGTCTGTTTGATATGAAAATGAAGAGGGACTTTGGTCGTGGTTATTGATGTGGTAATTGTTTTCTACAGGAGTTGTTGCAGTCCAGAAGACGTGATTGGTGTGTGATAATCCAGAGGGACATTAACGCTCGAGTGAATGTTGGAAATGAGAGGCAGTAAAGGTGTAAGTATTGAAGTTGTACCTATACTTTGTTATAATTTGAAGAGTAGAGTATTTGTAACATTGACGTATTGTTTTTTTGTTTTCATGTTGGTGGTGGAGGAATATGGGCGAATTGTTGAGAGGAGCGCGTCGACACTGGATCCGGTGATGTCAAATTGTGCAATGTATTATTTGAAGGTGAGTTGTTATTGTATTTGAAAGTTGTAGGCAAGTGATATGAGTTTTTTCGGCTAGCAGTACCCATTGATGTTTAAAGTTGGGAGAAATAAGCATGGTGCATTATGGAGGTTGTGTGAAAGGTTTGTTGTTTTTCAGGTTTGAGGATGGAGTGGTGGTGGGTAGTGCCGTAACCAGGTTGCAGAAAGGGTGGACTATTACATGTACGGGCCTGTGCAATGGACTAGGAGGAGGAGAAGCAGCAGCAGCAGCGGCGGCGGTTTAAGATAAGTGGTGTGGTGTGTTGCATCGTGAATTGTTTGTGATAGTTTAGGGACATAGTGCTTTTAGTTGTAAGAAATTGAGTATAATGTAATTGTTGGAAGACGTGTATAGTGATGTAAATTGTAGGTTAGTTTTGGATTAGTATATGTGGAGAATGGATGTAGCAGGTATTAGGAATGTAGCGACTAGTGTAGAGGCATACAGTATATATATTTGGTGAGTGTGGCGTTGGAGTGGTTTAGGGCGTGAACTAATGTGTTGATCTGTTTGTTTTTTAGGCCGGATTGGAGTTTTTGGAATGTTAGGCGGCAGTGATGGTGGAAGAGGCAGTGGTTACTCGGCGACGGAGATGGGAGCGAAAGGGTAAGGAGCCGATTGTTTGTGTTAAAGAGGAAGCGTTTGTTTGAATTTGGGTAAGATGAAAGGTGAATTTGTTGTGGGTATGTATTGTAATTGTATAGAAGTTAGTTGGTAGCAGGCTAGTATTGTTGTTACACACTGGAGGCTGTGTAATGATTGGTACTAGCCGTGGTGAATGGTTTGTAGTAGAGTATGTGTATATTGTTAAGAAGTTGGCATTTGTAGTGTATGGTGTGGTTTAAAAGGAAGAAGTTTGGTTTTCGTAGACATGGGCTTTGCCGAGGTAATGCTTAAGAGAGCGAGTTTTTGTTGTAGGCAAGCCACTAAGAATAAGAGGGACGTGTTGATCCCGAAGGAGATTGGATGCATGAACCTTTTTGGGATGGTGTTTATTATGGATTTTTTTTTTTTTTTCAGTGGTGCATCGGTTGTAGATGTGAGAAAGCATCGGAAAGAGTGGTGGATGGAGGCTATGTAGGAGACGACCAAGTATTGGGCATTTACTGTGGAGGTGACGATGTGGTGGTTATGAAGAGGACCGCCTTGTATGTATGATGTATTTGATGGGAAAGGCCATGACGAGTTGACGTCCATTGTTAGTGGGAGACTGTGGCAGTTGTCGGGTAAGAAATTGGAATTTGCTAAATGTTTTCTCCGTTTCAGATTGTAGTGATGGGGTGAAGTCGCTTTGGCCAAGTTGCCGTCGAGGATTACGCGTGTCTGTGATCTGGGTGTATGGAGCCGAGATGTTGTCCTTTGAACGTATAGCCGTTCTATGTGATAGGAGCCGAGATGATGTCCTGTGAACGTCTAGCCGTCGTCCGTGTGACTGGAGCCGAGAAGATGATGTCCTGTGAACGTCTAGCTGTCGTCCTGTGACTGGAGCCGAGATGTCCTTTGAATGTATAGCTGTCGTTTCAGTGACCGGGGTGTATGGAACTGAGATGTTCCAGTGAGTGGGGTGTATGGAGCGGAGAAGATGTCCTTTGAACGTATACCCGTCGTCCCTGTGACTGGAGCTGGGAAGATGATGTCCTGTGAATGTATAGCTGTTGCACCTGTGACTGGGGTCGAGAAGATGATGATGTCCTTTGAACGTGTAGCTGTCGTCTCGGTGACCGGGGTGTATGGAGCCGAGAGTTGTCCCAGTTGTCGAGCCGAGATGTGCTGTGAAGTTCTAGCCGCCGTCCTTGTGACTGGAGCCGAGATGTCCTTTGAACGTATAGCCGTGGTCCCAGTGACGGGTGTATGGAGCCGAGAAGATGTCCCGTGAAGGTATAGCTGTCGTCCCTGTGACTGGAGCCGAGAAGATGTCCTGTGAACTTGTAGCCGTCGTACCAGTGACCGGGGTGTATGGAGCTGAGAAGATGTCCTGTGAACTTGTAGCCGTGTTCCAGTGACAGGGGTGTATGGAGCCGAGGAGATGATGTCCTGTGAATGCATAGGTGTTGTCCCTATGAAGATGATGTTTGATGTACTGGATTGTATTATATTGCTAAGTGTATAGAATATATGTATTCGAGTTGAATTTTGTGTTTTCTTTATTGCCTGATGTGCATTTTGAGTGATACATAAGGTAGAAGAAGACGACGACAAGTGATTTGGGCATCAGAAGAAGTGGAGCGATGCGACAAGATGAAGGTAATGTGTGAAGAATTGAGATTAGTTAATGTAATATGATTATATGTAAAGTAAAGATGTTGAAATGCATCATTGAGATTAGTTGATGTAATATGATTATATGTAAAGTAAAGTAAAGATGTTGAAATGCATCATTGATATTGAGATTAGTTAATGTGTTGAATAATTTGACTTGTATTATTGTGTGAATTTTAATGCTGTTTTTGTTTCTCCCTTTTCTTACAGGTACACGGGAACACATGTGGTGTTGTTAGAGTGTTTATTGAGCAACAAAGGTGATTTTTCAACTGAAAGAGAGTAGTTATTCCTCATTGGTTGTGAGTTGGTGTTTTGATGTTTGTTTGCAAACAAAAGCTCGGACATTGTCGATCTATCACACGACAATAGTTCATAGACACGATATCTGTGTCGAGAGCTTTACGACAACCTATTGTCGGTACTGACATTATTGCCAGTATTGATAATATGGTTAAAGTCTGTTTGCAAACAAAACATTAAAATGCTAACTTAAAACTAATTTGGAATAACTACTTTCTTTCAGTTGAAAAATCACCTTTGTTGCTCAATAAACACTCTAAAATAACTTATAAAAAATAAAAGGGGTGGCCAGGGACTATCTTAATAAGATAGCGACTTTGAAAAAAACCCCGTTTTCTGTTCGCCTGGAGAAAATGGGAAACCATCAAAGAAAATGGGAAATTTCCCACAGCTCAAAAACCCGTTTTCTACAACGCCAACTGTCTACGTGATCCCGTTTTCCACAACACGCTTTTCTTTTCCAAATCCAATATGGCTGTACTTTAACTTGTGAAAAATAAAGACCTTGATTATATGCTTTCTTTTATTACACTGAAATTATTTGTCAACATACATGAAAAATATACAGAGTCCACAAACAATGAAAAAAATTTCTAAGTCCACAAAAGATGAAAAATATTCTAAGTCCACAAGGCATGAAAATTTTTCTAAGTCCACAAGGGATCAAAAAAAATACTAGGTCCACAAAACAAATTTTTCCTAAGTCAACAAACATCATAATTTTTTCTAAGTCCACAAAGGATAAAAAAATATTAAGTCCACAAACATAATAAATTTTTCTAAGTCCAAAGGATAAGAAATTTTTCTAAGACGACAAACATATTTTTATAAGTCCACAAAAGATAAGAAATTTATCCAACTCGAGAACAAATTTTTCTAAGTCAACAAATAAGAAATTTTTCTAACTCGACAAACACAATACATTTTTTCTAAGTCCACAAAGGTTAAAAAATTTTTCAAAGTCAACAAATCTTCTAAGTCAACAAACATTGTTTCTAAGTCCACAAAGGATAAGAAATTTTTCCAACTCCACAAAGGATAAGAAATTTTTCTAAGTCAACAAACATTATAATTCTTTTCTAAGTCCACAAAGGATGAAAAAATACTAAGTCCACAAAGAATTAAAAATTTTATAAGTCCACAAACATACAAAATTTTTTATAAGTCCACAAAGGATAAAACATTTTTATAACTCGACAAACATAATAAATCTTTCTAAGTCAACAAAGGATAAGAAATTTTAATAAGTCAACAAACATAATAAATTTTTCTAAGTCCACAAAGGATAACAAATTTTTCGGTCAACAAACATAATAAATTTTTAGAAGTCCACACGATAATAATTCTTATAAGTCCACAAACATAACAAATTATTCTAACTCCACAAAAGATGAAAATTATTCTAAGTCCACGAAGGATAGAAATTATTCTATGTACACAGGATATATATTTTTACAAGTCCACAAAAGACAATTTTTTGTAAAACCACAAAACATATGAATTATTCTAAATACACAAAAGATATACATTATTCTAACTCCACAAACAATATAAATTATTCTATGTACACAAAGGATATAAATTATTCTATGTACACAAAGGATATAAATTATTCTAAGTCCACAAAGGATATAAATTATTCTAAGTCCACAAAGGATATAAATTATTCTATGGACACAAAGGATATAAATTATTCTATGTACACAAAGGATATAAATTATTCTATGTACACACAGGATATATATTTTTACAAGTCCACAAAAGACAAAATTTATTCTAAAACCACAAAGGATATACATTATTCTAAGTCCACAAAACATATGAATTATTCTAAGTACACAAAAAAAATACATTATTCTATGTACACAAAGTATATAAATAATTCTATGGACACAAAGGATATAAATTATTCTAAGTCTACAAAGGATATAAATTATTCTATGTACACAAAGGATATAAATTATTCTATGTACACAAAGGATATAAATTATTCTAAGTCTACAAAGGATATAAATTATTCTAAGTACACAAAGGATATAAATTATTCTATGTACACAAAGGTTATAAATTATTCTATGTACACAAAGGATATAAATTATTCTATGTACACAAAGGTACATTCAGTAGCCGGTGCATGCCCAGCATTTGCCAACAGTGCGTGACAGAGATGTGACCGATCGCCAAGAAGAAGCGACCAGTGTCAAAGAGGATACAAGTAAAAAATAGTAAAGTAATAAATTATTCTATGTACACAAAAAATATATATTTTTATAAGTCCACAAAACATACAAATTATTCTAAGTACACAAAAGATATAAATTATTCTAAGTCCACAAAACATACAAATTATTCTAAGTACACAAAAGATATAAATTATTCTAAGTACACAGAGGACGCATAAAGACCGCACCGCGGACGGACGTTATAAACGTCGTCGCGGAACGTACATCAATTTTACACCCCGACACATTAAAATCGTCCTCGGAGGAATCGCGCCGCTCGGGCACAACGTGTACGTCGCGATGCCGTGTCGATGCGCGTCTTCTTCTGCGTCGACGGGCGTCTTCCCGAGTGTCTTCCTCGCGCCGAATCTTCGTCCGAAACGACTCCAACGGGCTCCCCCGCGCCGACCGTACGATCCGTCTCCGCTCGTCTGCAATTGAAACGCACGGATTACTCCGACAAATACATAAACCGTTATCTAATAATACACATTATACTAATTCCCAAACCAACTTCAACTAAAACATCTAAATTCATTCTTTCTACAGTATACACTCACCCCACACAAACATATCTATACACTATTGCCATCTAAAACACACACAACTCCTGTACTGTACAACCCTGTAAATGTATTCAATGCATATTATATCATTATGTCAAAATCAAATGTAACTCTGTATATATTCGGCCAGCGAGGGGTGGGGTTCGGGTGACGCGTTTGACGGTTTGAGCCGCGGGTCGGAGTGTGTTTATTTAACGGTCCTACTCGGCTTCTCTCCTTTTAAAATGCCACTGAAATGACACGGGAGAATAGAATTAAAATTGCTGGGATTCTTCTAACGTACCGATTAATTTGAATATAAACGTGCCCTAATTTCCGCCGGACGTGGCAATTTTAGTGCCGTGATGAAATTAGTGCGTGTACGCTCCGGCTTTGCACCCGGGTCGTTTATTTATTTTACGTTTCTTTTGGTATGGAGTGTGCATGTAAATGGATGACAATAAATGAAGAAATTTATGTAAATCTACCCAAAAATACACTTCAAAAACTTTATATTATAAAATGTACTACAATTTTTATATCTTGACCAAAACATATGACATTTATATTCAACTTATTGGCTGTCTTGCAAGGATTCCAGCAATGCAAATTGTAATCTCCTAACTTTACTCTCAGATATCACATAAAATAAACACCTTAAAGCATAAAATTATCCCCGATGTTTTCTCTGGGAGCACGAGGAGAGAGGTAGCCAACGAGAGAGGGGAGCAGGCGGGTGGGGAGGGGTGTTTGTTTATTTATTCGACATAACATTTCACACTTGGCACCGAAGGTTTATTTATCATTACTTAAGAGTGACTAACTTCTCATATTTTGCCACCCAAACAACCTGGGTGAATATAACTTATATTGCTGGGATTCTTGTAAGATGGTATTTGAATACCTGTATAAACAATTTAAGTACCGTAATCGTTCGGCACGCGTACGGTGCGGGTTCGTTCCGTCGTCGACCGATGGACCGCCGTATTGCGGTGTACTTCTACCGTACGATATTGACTAAATTCCCTGGATGACGTACGCGACTCGCGGTCGGTAGACCTCGTCGAGTCCGTCGGCGTCGGTGGCCCTTGCGAGTCCTCGCGTTCCCCGTCGTGGGAGTCCGTTTTCCCTCCCTTCGGGACGCCCGAGTCCATTTTCTCTTACTCTTAGAGTGCAGTGCACCGGACACTTCGTCATTCCTTAGAAATGACACGCGACTTCAAATTGCAACCGAGGTTGCAATTCTTGAGACGACTAGATATGTCTGATTACAGCAAATGTCTTATTGTCAATATGTAGGTTAAAGATTTTATCCTCAATAGATGTAGGTTAACATTACACCCGGAGGAAAATGTTTACTGAAGCCCAAGGAAGGATATTCCTTTAACTCGTATTATCTGGCCGGTAC